GTAGATGTGGCTTCCTGGTTGTGTTTTAAACCATTCTCAAGCTTCTCGACCAGGTCACACCCCCCAGTACAGTTATCAGAGGGGTTCGTGAGCACACATACAGGAATTTTTTCTCATTCTTTCTGTTATTTATGTATGTTTGCATATATATCCTGGTATTTATTTTTCTATTCTTAGAATTGTATAGAAATACTATAATTGCTTTTTCTATACTATTAGCACAATTCGATTACATCTGGGTCAAATCAGCTCCTTTTTTCTAACCGAAATAGAACTTGAAATGCCTGCAAAATGTATTAGCTGCTAATGCTGTAGACATGAAGACATTTTTAGGTTCCTAGTGGGATGTCTGTTTTTTATGCACTAAAAATACAGTTTTACTGTTTTTAACACCCCTCTGAGGTCTCAGCTGAGAGGCTGCTCAGCTATGGTGGTGGTTTTTTTCTTCTTCTTACTGGATGAAACTAGGACTCTGCTCTGTACTTCCATTCCCCTGCGGGGGTATGCATTATTAACCAGGATAAAAAGGAATAGGAGGAAAAATTTAGAAAGCGAAAGAAGGGAAAAAAGAAAGCATGCCTAATACTGTAAGGAAGCAACATACGCTGCATTTATTCACTGAATCATAGAATCATTTAAGCTAGAAAAGACCTTTAAGATGATTAAGTCCAACTATTAACCTAACATTGCTAATACCACCACTAAACCATGTTTTTCAGCACCTTGTCCGCATGTCTCTTAAAAAGCTCCAGGGATGGTGACTCAAAAACGTCCCTGGGCAGCCCGTTCCAATGCCTGACAACCTTTCTGTGAAGAACACTTTCCCCATATCCAGTGTAAACCTTCTCTGGCACAACTTGAAGCCATTTCCTCTTGTCCTATCACTTGTCACTGGAGAGAAGAGCCCAACGCCCACCTCTCTGCAGCCTCCTTTCAGGGAGCTGTAGAGAGCGATCAGGTCTGCCCTCAGCCTCCTCTTCTCACAGGCTAAACAACCCCAGTTCCCTCAGACTCTCCTCAAAGTACTTGTGCTCCAGACCCTTCCCCAGCTCCGTTGCCCTCCTCTGGACACACTTCAGCATCTCAATGTCCTTATTGCAGTGAGGGACCCAACACTGAACACAGGATTCATGCTGCAGCCTCACCAGTTACCAGTACCAGGGGGATGGTTCCTGCCCTGGTCCTGTTGGCCACCCAGTTCCTGATACAAGCAGGATGCTCTAGGCCACCTGGGCACACGCTGGCTCATACTCAGCCGGCTGTCGACCAACACCCCCGGGTCCTTTTCTGCCAGGCAGCTTTCCAGCCACTCATCCCCCCAAGCCTGTAGCGTTGCAGGGGGTTGTTTTGGCCGACG